ACCCACACCAGCGCAAATACCCCCACACATACACCAGTCCCGGGATGTATGATGCAAATGCCGTAAGAAACGCCTTGATCCGTCTACGACCTCAGCTTTCGTCTACAAGCGCCGGGACCGGGTGCGTCCATAATTCACTTGCAGAGAGCGTGTGTCTGGCGCGTCTTCCACGAAGTCATGGCTGCTTGTCGATGTCACGGTGTTTAAGGATGGCGCTAATGCTCTTCCATGGTCGAGGCAGATCGTGAATCTTGGGGCTAAACGTGAAGAAAATGGTGGCAGCGTTGGTAAAGAGGTAATAATAGCTAGCACACAATAATAGCAGGTAATAATAGCTATTGTTACAATAACATGCGAACATCATACTTGTTAAAACGACAAAGGGAAATGTTCAAGAAATTATCTAATTCTTCATAAAAAATCTAAATGCTAAGGATAAAGAGAGATTCAACTCTTCAAAGAATAAAACGTAAGAACACCGTCAAATAGCTGATGCCAAGAATGACAAACCAAACTCTCCTGTAATACGCTATAATTCCTGAGTAAAAATAACGACTCTACCAAAGACATCCCCTTTTTTTCCATTCCCGACCTGAAGACGTTGCTCTCGCCAAGGTTGTCCGGCATCTCGGTGAAGGCTGCAGCATCTCGATCCCATCTCCAGGGCGTTCTTCCATCTCAGTCGACCGTAGAGGAACCGCAATGTACCAAATGCTGGACGCGACTCTTACTTTCATTGCAGGAAAAAGACGTCGATTGAGACATGTCGGTCGGAGAGGGAGAGTGGACGCAAGAAAGCTCGGCTCGAGAAAAAAGGTGGATGGGTTCTTGGACTCGAGGTGGGAGGGGAGGGGTGGTTCCAGGAGGAGCGGAGTGGGAGGGGAAGAGGAGGGTTTAGGAAAGTGGTGGTGGAGAATGGAACTGGAGGGAAGGGGGTTTTAGAAGAGTGGTGGGGAGTGGAAGGGAAGAGGAGGGTTAGGAAATGGTGGGGGATGTGGAGAGTGGAGATGGGAGGGGGAAGGGGTGGGTTCTAGGAAGAGTGGTGGGGAGGTGGAAGAGAAGGGGTCCAGTAGACATGGAGATGGAGTTAAAAGTGGTACAAGAGGGTGGAATGTCATGCATGACCCTAGACACTTAATCATAGTGTAACTGGTTGTACTCCAAAGGGGAAGGGATTCAGACAAGACCCTCAATTCCGCTATGAGTGAAAATATCTCCATATGATGTTTTTTCAAATATAATTTGAAACTGTAGTAATGTAATATCAATAATGATTATACCTGCTATCATCCCTCATACCTAGCAAGGCCAAGTGTTCATGAGCTATTTTCAGAGAGAAATTCCACTACAATAATATACACTACCGCACGACGAGGCTCCCCAGTCTGAAAAGATACAATACGAGATGAAACAGACGTCGAAACGAAACCAAACCTAAGGGCAATCCTAAGACGTCTCAAGTTTCGTCCTCTAACGACTTCGACTGAAGAGGAGAACTAGTCTTACTCGAAACGTCACGGTTTTGTGCATTCGTCATTTTTGTGCAAATGTTGTCTCTGTGTCCATGTCATGCAGATCCTTCTCTTGGGTAATTCTGCTTGTTACTTTTCGATATCGACTGTTAAAAAAACATGCAAAAAAAAAACAAAAAAAAAACTTGATATGGATTAATATTGATATAAAAGTAGGCCTACTACTAACACTAATGGTGATTATAAAGATGATGCTGGTGTTCATGATAATAACAGAACAAAAAATAATGATAACAATGATAATAGTAATAACAATAAATGATTACATTTATGATAATACTAATGATGGCAATTATAAAGATGATACTAATAATAACGATGAAAGTGATAATCATAAATTTGATGATAATAATGTTAATAATATCAATTATAAATGTAATAATAATCATAGATATGATAATGATTATAATGGTAATCATATTAGTATAATGATAATGATAATAGTAATAATGGTAATAATATTAGTATAACGATAATGATAATAGTAATGATGGTAATAACAATAATAATAATAATAATATAATAATTATAATAACAATGACAATAATGATAGTGAAATAATAATAATAATCATAATCATAATGATGATGATGAGGATGATAATGGTAACAATGATAATAATAATAAAATAATAATAATGATAATATTAATAATAATATCATAATATCCATAACAATAACAATCATGATAACAATAATAATAATGATACTCTAAATAATAATACAGGTAATAATGATAATAACAATGTTGATGATGTAGATGATGATGATGATGATGATGATGATAGTGTGGTGATTGGTAATGATGATGATTGATAATAATAATGATAATAACAATAATGATAATAATGATAATAATAATCATCATCATCATCACCATAATAATAATTATTACAATAATGATAATAACTATGATCATAATCATCATCATCATAATATCAATAATGATGAGATATAATGATAACAATA